TAAAATCATGAAAATAACTAATGGAGCTCTAATTCAGTAATTTTTTTCAAAATAAATCATTACGCATGCTATCGTATGAGATTTCAAAACTACATATGAGTCAATAACATAAACAATTCATATCTCATATGCAATCAGTCGGCAACAACAACTTTATCTTTATCAGTCTACTGGTATTCATGGGGGTTTATAGGGATGTCCACACTACGCATGAACTATTTTTAATATTTTCAATTAACGGACCGTCCCCATACCTGATCCGGTATGAGCGTCAAAATACCATCTCTCAATGTTTCGTCTGGCATGAGGGTGAAATAGGTCGTCCCCATACCCCGTCCGATATAAGCACCAAAATACTAATCCTTGATACCCCGTCTAGTATGAGGCAACGTTCACGGTAGGGTTCTCTATGTACCCGGTCTGTCCACCATCTCCCAGGATATCTAGTAAGGCTACCGTTCATCCATTCATTTAATTAACTAATTTTTCGTTTACCTTTAATTTTCAGTTTCCAAATTAACTATAAATTACGTAAAACGAGCAATACATGCATAAAGGAAACACAATCGAATTATCATACCAATTCCAGTGTATTATCATGCATTCGAATTGTAAAATCAATCAATCAGGTAAACATGACAAACAATAATAAATAACTGGTTCCGCCTCCATTAGTGACTTATAATTAATTATGGATATTATCTAAATTACACAAAATACCGTATTATTATTAATTAAACTTCATTTTATAACAGAGAATAAGGTGAGAGATTCTTACTCGAATTGGTGTCTGAATGCTAAACTTTTGACTGCGCCTGTTGGTGATCCCCAAGTTTCTTGAATTTTCCTTCGGAGATTAAAACATGCTTCAAGTATCTAGAAATACCTCAAAAAATCCAAAATCAGTATTAAAAACCCTTTTTGGCCAATTTCAGCATTCCGGCACGGCAGCTCCGCCGTGTTCCGGCTATGGCACCACCGCCTGCAGCGGTGGTTTGCCTCAGGTTGGCCATTTTCG